CCATAATGTAAGTGGTATTATACAATATTTGTCTTTGTCTGAGGCATCTCACTTAGCATAATGTTGTTGCAAATGGCAGGATTTCCTTCTTTCCCATGGCTGAATATATTCCATAATCACATCTTCTTTATCCATTTGTCTGTTGATGAACACTTAGCTTGTTTCTGTATCTTGGCTATTATGAATAATGTTGCGGTTAACCTAGGTGTGAAGATATTCCTTTGAGATACTGACTTAAACTTCTTTGCACACATAACCAGGAATAGGATTGCTGAATCATAGGTAGTTCAATGTTTACTTTTTTGAGGAACTGCCATTATGTTTTCCATAATGGTTATAGCAATTCATATTCCCACCAATAGTGTTCACATCCCCACCAATATTTGTTATTTCTTGTCTTTTTGATAAAAGCCATCCTGCCAGGTGTAATATCACATTATGGTTTTGATTTGCATTTCCCTGGTGATTAATGATGCTAAACATCTTTTCATATACCTGTTGGTCATTTGTATATAATCTTTGAAAAAATGTCTATTCAAGTTTTTGCTTATTTTTCATTGGGTTATTTTATTTTTTTGCTATTAAGTTGTATGAGTTCTTTATGTATTTTGGATAACAGCCCCTTATCAGACATGATTTGTGAATATTTTCTCTCATTCAATAGGTTGTTTTTCTCAATTTGTTGATTGTCTCTTTTGCTGTGCAGAGCTGTCCAGTTTAATATAGTCACATTTGTTTATTTTAGTTTTTATTCACTGTGCTTTTGGTGACTTATCCAAGAAATCATTGCCCAGACCAACATCAAGGATCTTTTCCCCTATGTTTTTTTCTAGGAATTTTATGATCTCAGGTCTTACATTTTAATCTTTGATCCATTTTGAGTTCATTTTTGTGAATGATGTACAGGTACAAGTTAAGGTTTCTTTTGCATGTGGAGATATGTGTGTGTGTGTGTGTGTGTATATATATATATATATATATATATATATATATATATATATATATATATGCACTATCTATTCCATTCCTCTATGTGCTTCTTTTTATGCCAGTACCATACTGTTTTGATTACTGTAGCTCTGTAATATGGCTTGAAATCAAGTATTGCGATGCCTCTGGCTTAGTTTTACTTTCTCAAGATTGCTTTGGTTATTCAGGGTCTTTTGGGGTTCCAAATTAATTTTAGGATAGCTGTTCCTATATCTGTGAAAAATATCATTGGAATTTTGATTGGAATTGCACGGAATCTGTAGATCATTTTAGGTCATGTGGACATTTTCACAATATTCTTCAAGTTTAGGAACATGAGATATCTTTCCATTTATTTTTATCTTTTCAATCTCTTTTATCAATGTCTTATAACTATCAGAATACATGTCTTTCAACTCCTTGGTTAAATTTATTCCTAAGTATTTTATTGTTTTCAATGCTATTGTAAATGGAATTGCTTTCATAATTTCTCTTTCAGATAATTTGTTGTTACTCTATAGAAATACAATTGATTTGTATATGTTGATTTTGTATCCTGCAATTTTACTGAATTCATGTTAATAGTTAAAATAGTTTTTATTTAGTTGAGTTTTTAGGGTTTTCTGTATATGAGATCACCCATCTGTTTTCTGTATATGAGATCACCCATCTGTAGGGTTTTCTGTATTTGAGATAATTTTACGTCCTTCCTTCTGATATGAGTGCCATTTATTTCTTTTTCTTGTTTAATTGATCTGGCTAGGACTTCCAGTATATGTTTAATGCATCCTTGCATCCCAGAGATAAATCCCACTTGACCATAAGTATTTGATCCTTTTATTGTGTTGCTGAATTTTACTTGCTAATATTTTTGAGAATTTTTACATGTATATTCATTAGGAATATTGGTCTATGATATTCTTTTCTTATAATGTCTTTGTTTGACTTTGGTGTCAGCATAATGCTGACCTCATAAAATGAGTTTGGGAGTTTTTCTTCATTTAGAATTTTTTGGAACAGTTTGAGAAGGATTAGTGTTAATATTTCCTTGCAGGTTTGCTAGAATTACCAGCACAAACTATTTATTCCTAGGCTTTTCTGTGTTGGGAGGTTTTTTATTACTGATTGAATCTCCTTACTTGATATCGGTTTATTTAGATTTACTATTTCTTCTTGATTTAATCTTGAGAGAGCATAGGTTTCTAGGATTTATCTAGTTATTCTAGGTTATTCAGTTTGTTGGTATATAAGTGTTCATAGAAGTCTCTCATAATCCTTTGTATTTCTGTGGTATCAGTTGTAATGTCTTCTTTCTTTCTTTCTTTCTCTCCTTTTCTTTCTTTCTGAAAGGGGGACAGAGGGAGAGAAAGGGGTAGTGAAGGGGCAGAAGGAGAAAGAGAAAGAGAATTTTAAGTAGGCTACATGCCCAGTGTGAAGTCCAATGCAGGGTTCCATCTCATGACCGTGAGATCAAGACCCTAGCTGAAATCGAGTCAGATGCTTAACCACCACCCAAACACCCCTCCTCTTTCTTTTTGATTTTATTTTTTGGATCCTCTTCTTAGTTAATCTAGATAAAGGTTTAGCTTTTCAAATAATCAGTTCTTAATTTCCTTGATTTTTTTGTTGTTTTTCTGTCTCTATTTCATTTATTTCTCCTCAGATCAACACAAGAGTATTTTGAATTTGACTATAGATTCATCCTCACCAGTGAATTTTCTACTTTCGTATATTTTCATGTTACTATACATATGGTTGAAGAACTCTCTTTAGCATTTCTTGTAGGAGGGTCTATTGGCTATAAATTCCCTCAGCTTTTGTTTGTCTGGGAAAGTCTTTACCTCTCCTTTGTTTCCGAATGACAGCTTTTCTGGATGAAGTATTCTTGATTGATGCAGCTTTTTTTTTTTTTTTTCCTTTGAGTCCCTTGACTATATAATCCCATTCTCTTCTGGTCTGCAAGTTTTCTGCTGAGAAATCTGCTGATAGCCTTACTGGGATATTTATGCCCACGGGAGGAAGCTCTAGTTAAGGAGTCCCTCCTTGGCACCTGGTCAGTCATGCTGACCCTCAGAGCCCTCCAAGCAGTATTGGAGCTGCCATCCTAGGATTAGATTTATATGAAACCATCACAGTGCCTGGATCCTGGGGCATAGGTGTGCTTTCTGTGTCTCCTACACTAATGTCTGGAGTGTGAGAATATGCAGATATCCCATGTAACTGGTATCTGGGTCTCAAAGACCACTATGACTCATCCTGGTAGGAGGGAATGCAGCAGTGGCAAGCGTCCTGGAATAACAAGATGTGATGGTAGCATAGCCTAAGGATGTGGGTGAAAGCCTCAATTCTGGCACCAGGACACTCACAAAATAGCAACAGCACAAGTCTGGTAGTGGTCTTTTTAAGGTACATGTGGGGACCCAGGGATCTGGGCACAAAACAGTAGCAGCACTGCCCTGGCAATGACATTTCGGAGCTGCAACCCAGGACCTGGGGGGGTAGGATTAAGGGCAGCAGTAGCCTTGTCCCAGCAATCATAGGTCAGAACCTCAACTTGAAACTTGAGAGGTATGGCCCAGGGTAGTGTCAGTGCCTATAGCAATGAAGAATCAGAACTGTGACCTGGAACCCACAGGACAGAGATCAGGGCAGCAAGAGTCCATCTCAGGAATGACAGCTCAGAGTCTTGAGCTGAGATGGGGGTTCTCAGAGCAGCACAGTTCTGATAATAGTAGGCAACGTATGACTCAGGACATACTAAGTTAGTGACACTTAGGGTAGTGGCAATGCCCCTGACAATGATAAGTCTGAGCGGGGACCTAGAACCCAGGGGAGGATTCACGACAGTAACAGACTGTCTCAGTAATTATGGTTCAGAGTCTTGTTGGAGGAGGGCTCAGGGTGACAGTAGCACAGTCCCAAAAATGGCAGCCAAAGAGTAACTTGGGATCCTGAGGGCAGGGCTCAAGTGAGGAGAGGCTGCCTCAGTAATTATGAGACAAAGCCCCAGTCTGGGGCTGGAGTGGGCAAAGAATAATAGTATCTCCAGTCTTGTATAAGTGATGTGTTGTGGCACCCAGTCCTTGAGAATGGTCACATCAACAACCAAGACCCCAGCAACAGCCCCAGCCTCTGGGACCAGATGCAGAGTGGGGGCACTCCAGGCTACTCCATCGGCTGGGACCAGTGTCATTGAGGAGGACCGTGGAAGACCTTTGTAGCAAAAGCTGCATACATCCACAATACTGAGGCTTGCTGGGGTTTTCCAGCTTCTGACTGAGGGATGGGGTGATACAGGCAAAATTCTTTCTTTACTTTTCTGGGCAGATATCCTCAATGTTTTAGCTCTGCCAGACTTTTGCCCTCTTTTCTTTGTTGTTTAGAATTTCCCTGATCTGTTATCTTCAGTTTATATCTGTTTATTTATTGTTCTTGGTGTATTTTTTGGTTCCCTTGTCTTTTCGTTTTTTTGTTTTGTTTTGTTTTGTGGAGAGGCAAGTGTTGGGACCTCCTAGCCCTCTATCTTGCTGATGGCACTCCCAAGTCCCTCATTCTGCAGATGAGGAAATAAGGCCTTGGGACATAACGTGTTTTACTCAGTAATATGTGACAAGTTTAAGGCCAGACATTATAGTATGAGTCTTTTGATTTTTCTGAGGAATTGTTTGTAATCTCATAGGTACTAAAATAATAATTTCAAAGGGAATAGGAAGTGTATTTTTAAAATTTATTTATCTTGGTTCTATTGCCTTGAAATATTTTCAGCCTCCTGGTTTATGAATAGAAGTTCTTATTTGAATACAAAATATTAATGTATTCTTGCTGAGAAGCCATCATGGGAAGTTACAGAAGTGACAAATAATTAATTGAGCATGATGGGATTCTAATGAAGTAAACAGTTCTTGAAAGTGCTCTATGAAATAGGCGGTTATGTGTTTTCAGTATTCAACCCCAAATAATTCACATTTTGCTGTTTTTACGCATTTCTGACTTCTGTGCATTTTTAATTTCTCTTTTTTATTTCTTTGTAGACAGAATAACCAGAACATTGCAAATAATACTGGAAGTTGTACCAGAAGAAGATTGTCATAAATTATGAATTAATGCATCTGAAATCTTGGCAATCTATTCTTGGCCTTGTGTCTGCCCAGAGGGCTGAAACAAAATGTGCATCTTCAGGCATTTTATGAAAATCCAGAGGATTGCAACTTTGGTGATGGACTAAAGGAATCAGTTGTTGCTATTCCTATCTTTTAATGTGTTCAAGCTGGTTTCTAAGAAATTTAGTTTTAACTCCAGGTAGTTACTGAAAGCAGATGTGTTATGCAAGTATTCAATGAGTTCACATGATTTTGGAAGTTCTGATACCTACGTGAAGTGAGAGGAAAAAGATTACTGAGTGAACAATTCCTTTAGTGATCTTTGTAACATATCTCATCATGAACACCGAGATGTTTTCTGTGTATATGGCTTTTATAGAAATAATTTTTATATACTGTAGATGACTATACTGTGAAAAGTGTTTTCTGCTCTTTTGGGGGGGAAATTGTACATCATCATTCTGAACTGAGGAAAGAAAGAAATACATTTTATGTTGGCATTGCATTGCTTCCTCTTAGACACCAACTTAGATATCACTCATCTTTTACTGCATTACACCCAGAGCATTCTGAACAAACGACAGAGAGGAAATGCCTAATTTTAATGAATACATTAAAAAAGAGTTTCCAGGGGCTATTGTTTATGAGAAAAATCCAGGAATTTTGTCTAAAAATTCTGATAATTGATTATGTTAAGATTTTTTTTTTTTACACTCTTTATCAGGAAAACCCACTTTGTTTTCATGGCAGCCCACTTGATCATGAGAGGATGTAACATCTTTCTTAGAGAAAGCAATAGTCAATTTGTTATTAAAGCCTCTTAAGCACAATCATTTGTTTCCCTAATAACTTACCCCTTGATAATATAGCTAAATATATGCATTTTTAAATCTTTAAATTGCAATTTCCTTATAAGACAGAAATCAACAAGAAGGAGAATACCCAAAATATTATGCCCAACCCTATAATCATATCTATTTGCAGCGTTAGTGATTACGAACAATTTTTAATCTCATAGCTATTTTTACATGGTAATAAATTTTGACAGTTTGTACATTTCCTTTATATATTTTATATTCTGTTAAAATATCTCTTCAGATGAAACTGTCCAGATTAATTATGAAAAGGCATATATTTACATAAAAATTGAGGAAGAAATGTCACTGCTAAATAAGATTTACAACTGATGTTTCTAAAAATTTTCCACTTCTTTATCTTAGCTTTGTCAGTTATTTCCTCACCTTAATTATCATTCAGCTTGCAAAAGAGATAACTGATAACAAATTCACTAAAAGAAGGAGAAACTGTGTGTGTGTGTATTCAGACAGGTGTTTTATGCTAGGTTTAGGAAATATTGTGGAATTTTCAAATAGGGTAATATAATGATGGGATGTGTAAACCATTATTTACATATATCTAAGATCAAATAGTCATACCAGAGTATGTTTCATCCTCTAATTTTAAAAGTAACAATTTTTGAAAGAACTACACTGATTAAAATCATTGAGCTGATACAGAGTTTATAGAAAATTGACCAAAGCAGAAATGATAATTTATAATTTGAGGCAATTCCAAGTCACTAATTTCAGTTTTTGCTCTTGATAACATTTAATACACATTCAAGATAGACATTATTTTCAGCCAAACCTGGTGTTTGGGTCTTTAAGTGAATTCATAAAAATTCCTTCCCTTTTTTCTTCCCATCTGGTTTTCAAATTTGATCTGTAGTCTCTGCTTCTTATATCCATTTGTCTGTATCTCTTGCCACTCTGTTGCTGAGGTAGAAATAGATTGTGTTTATATTCCCCCCCCCTTTTTTTTAACCATCTAGGCCCATGTAATATAAACCAGAAAACTCTTCTTAAGGGTTTTTATGGGGTTTGTTTGTTTTTTGTTTGTTTTGTCTAATGAAAAAAAAATAGTAAGATCACATGGAGAGGTTTACATAGTTCTTGATTATTCCTGAGAATTATGTGCTTATAACCACAGTGACAGATAGGTCTCATTTTATTTTGTTATTTTTTGTTTTAATTTCTTTTCAAATATAACATCATAAGAGCTAACTAGGATGCATTTCATTATTTTTCCCATCATTTAAAAAAAATGATTTTTGCATTGTTAAATTTCTAATGCTACTATAATTTTTAACCTGACAGAGAGTAAGTCGGTCAGTAATTTTTTAAAAAGTAATAAAGACTAAGTTGTACTTCAGTTTATTTTTAGGATATACCACGACAAGGTGCAGGGTTTCAATAATCTGGAAATCGATATTCATAATTTTTATTCAGATAATATCAAATCAAGACAACTCTATTTGAAAACTCTCCTGAACACTAATATGTATATTTTTATTTATACTAAGTAAAATTTTTTCTCATATATTTAAAATTATATAGAGAGACAATTATATATAAACCATTACATTATACCCGCACCATTGTGGATATTCAAATGTTTATATACATATTATGAGTTTATTATAACACAAAAAGTAAAAGTGGCCAATACAGTTTAAGACAACAAATATACTATTTTCAAATGTACTACTTTTTGAGTAACATGGAGTCTCAAGTATTTAATTGCGAATTAAACGGATTTAGTAAAGACTTCCAAAGCTAAAACAATTTGATTAAAAAAATGGACTGATTCTCCTTATGCAATTACAAATATTTCAGTAAATGTTTTTGACTCACTTTTAAAAATGTTAGATTATTTTCCTGAGATTTTTCTTTGGTCAGTTGAGGAAAATTGGACTATTATGAATGTTTAGGTCAGCTGGAAATAGATCTTGTTCTTGTCTTTCTTCAGGAGATTAAAGATTTGTCTTAGAAAAGATGGCGGACTCCAGTACGCAACATAAATGTTAGGTGTGTGCACCCACAAATATACATGTGTGCTTATACTGTATTCTTTCCCATCTCTGCTGGGACAAAAGTAGGATAGATTATTAGGTTACATTAGCAATGCATAGCAGTTTCTCTAACACTAAAACAGGTATGTCAAAACAAATTTCTGGATTATTTTATGTGTCTGGTGAAAGTGTTTCTCCAGTTGCTATTTGGTATATTAACAGACAGTTAACCTGAGTATAATTACTTAACTCAACATAATTTTTATGAACCGTAATCAGTCTTCAGGAAACTCATTATTTTACCTCTATTTGTAGATGAATGTAATACCAACCAAGAAAGAGGGCATCGTTGACCTATAGAGGATTTCTTATAATTGAGGTATAGGTTATGAGAATATAGAATACTGAAGCCCTGAGTAGCAGGAAATGAAAGATAGCATATGACTGGAAGTAATGATATTTTGATGTAACTTATTATGCCGCATGGTCAGAGAAGTATTAAAAATTAATTGTCTGTTGTGCATAAGTGGATATCCCAAGTAACTAATGAAATGTGGCTTCAGTGCCCCTCACTTAGACATGTCCCTTCCTAATGTTGCATTTGGAAATTTATATTAATTTTTTTGAAGAAGATCAGAAAAATTGTATACATTTCTGGCCCTACAAAATCTGCATCTGTCCCTGTGAGTATAGTAAAATAACTTCCATTACTTTTTCTAGTAGAAATAAACACAGGCCATTTATAGAATATATCTTTAAAAAAAGTTTTGAGTTAATTGAAGTATCTATGTATAATTTTACATGGCTGTCATATATTTTTATATTTTGTGATATATAAGGAGAGTGTTCACTTTTGATATATTTTATGATTCAGTTCTGAGTGACAGAAAAGCAACAAATAGGGTTTTAATTGTAATTATTTTTCTTAGGAAAGAAATATAGTGAGATTTGGAATTTGAATGCAGATGAGTAAAAGATTGATTTTACTTAAATGTAATCTTGCTTCATTTTACCCCACATGATATGCTGTATGTTGGTGCTGATAATGTTTACAGAGTCACATTTTACTTTGTTAACAATTTTAACAATTCAAAGTCAGGAATTAAAGCATGACATTGTGTAACTGGCAAGAAACTTGTGGCGGGTATATAGGTAATGAGGCATCTTGACAGCTTCTGTTTACATAATTTATATGTAAGGTAAAAATTTATTACCTATAAGTGTATTTTAGGTTAATTTTCTCATAAACAGTATTTTAAATGTATCTCAATATATATAATACCTCAAAGTATAAACTCTAGGTAGTTTTAATACTGTTCTTAAAAAGTTATCTTAACAGCCAAATTTTGAAGATAATCCTTACCTCTTTTTGTTGCATTTTCAAATTAATTGATGTCTAAAATAAATGCTTGGTCTATTTTCAGATTCAAAACAAATTCACAAAGGTGTAAATCCCAGTCTCACAGAAAGTTCACCAGGTCTCCATGTTGTGAGATATTGTCTGTCTTTACAACCTCCTAAGGATATTAGCTTGATCTATTTGAACCATTTCTGTTTTTTCTTTTAAATGAATCCATGATTTCCTTTGTTTTATTTGTCATATTTTGACATGATAGCCTCGAGATGGGAGTGAGTCTTAATTTGAACTAACACAATGACCCTAGATATCCTTAGTGTGAAACTGCCCCTTGGTTTATTTCCTTGAGAGTCCTCATCTCTCTTGTCTTTGTTACTGTTGGCCTTAAAATATCAGTGGGAGATGGTTATCTCAATAGTTATCTATTACATGTGTGTATTTCAAGTACTTGGATCAAGGGTGCATTTATGGTATCAGTAACAGCCTTAACAGTTGTACAGAGAAAAATTCTCTCAAGAAAACTGTGGAGTAGTAGGCATCTGAGAGCCATGCAGATGGACACAATGGTTTGAAAATGAATATACTTGTTCTTCCCTCCACCTATACACTACTGACTTTTTTTTTTAAAGTATGACTTTCAAGCACATTAATTTATTGGTTAGAAGACTTGTTTGCTGAGTCCTTCCTTATTATCTCTTGAAGTCTTTAGAGGTCATGCTGAAAGCTACAGAAACAAACAAAAAAGACTGAATCACAGTTATGTCTTTTGCAGAAGGGATTGTATTTTGAGCACCTTGGGTGACAGTGTACTTTGCACAAAATCTTATAGGAAAACTTATTAGGCCTTTGGGTGTTACATGTGTATAACTGGTTGGGTTGGGAGGGATTTGACTTAGATGATGATTATGAAAGATAGACCTCACTTACTCCTACTAGTTAGTAATCTTCAGTACATGCTCGGAAGCTCATTTGTATCAGACCTGGAGGCAATGCAATGTAGTTCCTTGTTTTTGATTTGAACTGTCTTATTTTGAAAGATTTTGGAATAATTTTTTTCCCTAGAATTTCTCCTTCATTCAAAATTTTCATTTACTGACTAATGTAATATAAAGAAAATTATCTTAAAGTAAAGTAATACTTTGGGGAAATAAAACAGATTGTTTCAAATGAATGTATGTGCTTTTAACAGAATAGGAGTAATCTACATTAAACTACTGTTGTTTTAAGAATTTCATACACTACCATATAGCACTTTTCAATTGCTCTGGAAGCAAAAAAAAAAAAAAAAAAAAAAAAAAAAAAAGACCCCCATATATATCTATGGTTATCACATAAACCACAAGAATCCTCCAAAAATTTTAAGTAGTCTTGGATTTTTTTTTAATCCTCTCCTTGAAGAAATTTTTTACTTAATAGTTTTCCCTTGTGGATAGTATTACCAATGCTATAAATCTGGAACTAAACTGTTGATAC